AAATCACTAGTCTAGTTAATGACACTAACGTTTACAGTCCTATCAATAGCGATCCTACAGATCGAATCAACCGCACGTTCCACAAATTCATTAATAATTTAGTTTCTACTAAACAAATCCCACAAGACTTGTCCTTGTCGTTAAAAAACCTACATCCTAACAACCCAAAATTATATGGTCTCCCAAAAATCCACAAAACCAATGTACCTTTTAGACCTATAGTTGCAGATTTGAATTCACCACTAAATAAATTTTCCAAATTTCTGAGCAAACCCCTCTCCATAGTTACTGTTAATTCTCCTTTCTTTATTAAAAATTCCTTCGAATTTGTCAACAAAATACGTAATACACAATTGCCCAACAACTCCCTCTTAATAAGCCTAGACGTAGTTTCTCTTTTCACAAATGTCCCACTAGAACTAATTTTAGAGTCAATCACAGATAGATGGGATGAGATTTCTTGCCACACTACCCTTTCCCTCCATTGGTTTCGAGAGTCCATTAAATTCATAGTCGCGAATACTTATTTTGAATTCAATTCACAATTTTATACACAAATTTTTGGTACCCCCATGGGATCGCCTATCTCACCTGCTCTTGCTGAACTCTCTTTACAACATCTTGAAAAAAATGTTTTTAAGCTATCTAATGTTGAATTTTTCCTTTACTACAGATACGTTGATGATATAATTACTTGCATTCCTAAAAATAACTTTGATTCTTTACTAAAAAATTTTAACTCCTTTAATAAACACCTAACCTTTACCTTCGAAAAAGAACACAATAGGTCAATTAGCTTTTTAGATGTAAATATCATAAAAACTACAGATAATAAAATTATTACTAACTGGTACCAGAAACCAACGTGGTCTGGCAGATATCTCAATTTCCATTCTTATCATCCCACTAACATGAAAATCGGTACCATTATCAATTTAGTTGATCATGCTATTCTCTTGTCAGATAAAAAATTTTGGCCTTTTAACCTATCTCTAATCCACAGAACCCTATTAAATAATTGCTATCCTCCACACCTTATAAAATCAGTAATTAACAACAGACTTTCCGTCCTTAACACAAAACATAATCTTCCTTCCCTCGAGTCCCAGAAAAAAGAAGAAAATAAGTTTGTTGGCACTATTTGTCTCCCTTACATTAAAAATCTCTTTCCTATTTGGAAAAAACTATTTGAATTCGCGGATTTGCGTTTAGTTTGCAATATTGATCAGACTCTTAACTTTTTATTTTCGAACTTAAAATCACCGACAAGTTTAGATCGTATTTCTAACATCGTGTATAAAATTGACTGTACAAATTGTGAGGCCACTTATATTGGCGAAACTGGACAACATCTAAAAAAACGTCTCAGACAACACTAAAACAACTCCAAAAATAAAAAGCAAAATCAAACAATGATAACTGACCACATACAAAATTTCAATCATATTTTCAATTTTGATGTTGCCACAATTTTATATCACGAGTCGAATACATCGCAGAGACGCTTTTCAGAATCATGTCTAATACACCTTTATAAAAATAGTTTAAACAAAAGATTGGACACTTCCTCACTGTGCGAGAATTACCAAGTAGTCTTAAACAATGTCTCAAAATTCATACCTTTAAAATAGTTACCTATCATGATCGACGTTTAATTATTTTAATTTTAATGCCAATTTTCCTTTTCTTTTTCTTTTAATTTTTATCTCATTTTTACCAATTATGTCCACCCTCACAATTGTCATATTTTTATATTTCACTATATGTACCCTCTCGCGTTGTCAAATCTTAAATTCTTTGGTCAGTTCGTTTGCCTTGTACCTTAGCCCTCAACATGTGGTTCGCACATTGACGTACATTCAGTCGTCACCCGCGCATCGGAGCACAGAAATGTACGGCGTGATGTACTTTACAAATTCATAAAAAACTCAGTCAAAAATTTATATATTGTTCAACTTGAAATGACAAGGATTGGTTTTTTAGTGCATTGTAAATATTTATAATATGAAATAATTAGGATTGTGCATTGTGAACATTTATAATATGAAATAATTAGGATTAATTCAATTACATGTAAGTTCATACCATATCACTTCTTATATATTAGTTTTATTTAATAATTTCTATCTGTTCTTTCAATCTAGAGTCCACTGAAGATGACACAAAACAATGTGTCGAAACGTATGGAAAAAATAAAAACGTTTTAAAGTCATACAAATTTTTTAATTGATGTATTGCCCTGAAAACTGAATATCATATATATATATATATATATATATATATTTCACTTAATATATTTTTTACCCCTTATGAATTCTTTTCAGTCTGATTGCAGCAAGATGACATTCATGTAGATATTTATTTATTGCATTTTATTATCATTTCTAATTGCATTTCTGAATATATTATAATTTACTGATGATGATTGTATTCTATTCCATTATATTATCATTAAAACCTTTCATATATTATAATTTATTAATCACTGATGATTGTAATTTATTAATACACCACTTTTACTTATTGTAGTAACAAATTAAAATTCAATACAAGTTGTTATGACAAGTTATGTGTGTTTTGTATTTAAACCTGTAGTCATGTGTGTTTTTTCTATATTTATTGATTTGATTTGATTCCAGCATATATCATAATATATACTCTTGATTGAAATATTCTTATTATTACTATAATATCTTTTTAATTTATAATTATATTTTCACAAATTTTAATACAATTGCGATGCAAAATTAAAATTCTAACAAATTATTTTTAAAATTATTTTTTTTTTATTGATAGTACAATATTTTTAAAGTACAAATATTTTTATTTCAAATTTTAGCGCTTCAATATGAATGGCGATTGAAGCGCCATTGCGGTATAGCGGCCGTAGCAATAACTAATTTTTTTGAACCTAAATATCGCGAGAATGAAACGTCTATATTATTATATTGTCTAGGGTCGGAACGCAACGAGATGCTGATCGCCGTGCGATTTGCGTTCGGAAAACTCCGTGGGCCATCGTTATTAGCGGCAAACGATTTACGCCCAGAGAGACAGATAAGCCGCCGTGTTTGCCTATGTGACAGAAAGAGTCAGGTGTCGTACCTGATTGATACGGGGTCCGACGTTTCAGCGTTTCCGCGCTCATTATTATGCAATCCAAATAGGAAGAGGATTGCATACCAGCTAGCCGCAGCAAATAACACGACGATTGCAACCTATGGTACGGTGGTTGACCTTGGGCTACGTCGCGACCTGTCATGGAACTTCATTATAGCAGACGTTACGCAACCAATAATTGGTGTAGGTTTTCTCTCATACTACAGTTTGATTGCGGATGTGAAAAATCGTCAAATAACGGATGCTATGACAGGAACGGCGCAGGCGGATATTGCAGCGGAATCAATAGCGACTATAAAGGTGGTAACAGGTTCAACGGCGTACCATAAGTTGCTTGAAAAGTTTCCTGGTTTAACACGACCAGACGGCGCTGTTAGGTTACGCAAGCACGCGACGCAGCACCATATACAAACTAGTCCTGGACCGTCGGTGGTTCAAAAACCGCAGAGATTAGCTCCGGACAGACTCCTTGCTGCTAGAAAGGAGTTAGAAGCTATGCTGAAATTAGAAACGGCTCGTCCATCGAAAAGTTGTTGGGCTGCCCCGCTACACATGGTTCCAAAAGGGTGTGATGAGTGGCGTCCATGTGGCGATTATAGAGGTTTGAATGCGCGAACGAAGCCCGATAAATATCCGGTACGTCATATTCATGATTTCGCCCAAGCCTTGGACGGGAAAACTATATTCTCGACGATAGACTTGGTGAAAGCGTTTAACCAAATTCCGGTGGCGGAAGAAGATATTGTGAAAACCGCTATTACAACGCCGTTTGGACTATATGAATTTCCGTACATGACGTTTGGATTGCGCAACGCCGCGCAAACATTCCAGAGATTTATCGATGAGGTGTTGCAAGGGTTAGATTTTTGTTACGCCTACATCGATGATATCTTGTAGCTTCGTCGTCCGAGAAAGAACATATGCGCACCTAGAGATACTGTTTGGTAAACTTCTGGAATTTGGAGTGGTAATAAATCCAGCTAAATGTGTGTTCGGCCAAACAAGTGTAAAGTTTTTGGGATATGAGGTTTCGGCTGAGGGTACTCCCTTTGCCAGAGAAGGTAGAAGCTATTAGGACATTCACAAAGCCAGCGACAATGCAAGAGCTGAGGCGGTTTTTGGGCATGCTAAACTTTTATAGGAGGTTCATACCAAATGCCGCTCAAATTCAAGCACCGTTAAATGAGTTTCTGCGTGGAGATCCGAAGAGCAAAACCCCGGTAGAGTGGACAGCGCATACGTCAGCTGCTTTTGAGGCGTGTAAGGAGAGTCTGGCTCAAGCACGCCTACTATCCCACCCACACGCTAATGCTAAACCCTTGGCATTCTTTTCGCAAAAACTGAGCACAACGGAACGAAAATACGCAACTTACGATCGTGAACTACTTGCAGTGTATGAAGCGGTGAAATACTTTCGTCACATGGTTGAGGCAAGAACTTTTACAATTTTTACTGACCATAAACCAATAGTGTTCGCGTTTGTCAAGAAGGATAGTCAGTGCTCGCCTCGTCAATTCCGATATTTGGACTTTATCGCCCAATTTTCGACCGATATCCGTCATATGTCAGGAGAGAAAAATGTTGTCGCCTACGCATTATCGCGGGAGGAGTCTCTAAGAAGTGCCGGAACAGATATGAAGTTATTAGCAGCAGAGCAGAGATTAGATGAAGAAGTAGCTAAGTTGCGCACCGAAAACAACACGTCACTCAAACTGAAACTTATTCGATTTGAGGACCAAGACGTGTCAGTTTTGTGCGACATCTCTACGAGAACAGCTAGACCGTATATTCCAACAAAGTTACGGCGGGCGGTGTTTGATAGCTTACACGGATGTCACACCCTGGTATGAATGCTACGATCAAACTAGTTACAGAGAGATATGTGTGGCCGTACATCAAACGGGATTGCCGCGAGTGGGCACGTGCAGGCGCCAACGGGACAATTTGAACTTTCATCGAGTAGATTTGAGGACGTACATATTGATATAGTGATAATACCATTGTCAGAAGGATATCGGTATTGCCTGACATGCGTCGACAGATTTTCTAGATGGCCGGAAGCAATTCCAATTAGAGATCAAGAAGCCTCCACCGTAGCGCGAGCCTTCTATTCTAATTGGATTGCAAGATTTGGTATACCGCTGCGGCTAACGTCAGACCACGGAAGGCAGTTCGAGTCACGGATATTCAGTCAACTAAATCAGCTGCTTGGAACGAGTCATTACAAGACTACGGCATACCATCCCAAAGCCAATGGGATGGTTGAAAGATTCCACCGCCAGCTCAAAGCAGCTATTAGATGCCATAGCAGTAAAAGATGGACAGAAATATTACCGACGGTTATGTTAGGAATTCGTGCAGCATGGAAAGGGGATCTACAAGCTACTGTTGCGGAAATGGTATATGGCGAAGCCTTGCGATTGCCTGGACCAATGCTACACGTAACACCGACGAGTTATTACGGCGAAAGAAACTTTATGAATGACCTGCGTAACCACATGCAAAAGATATGCCCCACCAATGGAACGCGACATGGCCAGAAGATAACGTTTGTCTTTAAAGATTTAATGACTGCGGAGAGCGTTTTCATTCGATGGCCCAAAGAGACCTCTGCAGAATCCATATGAGAGTCCTTTTGAGGTGAAACCCAGATCTGCAGAGACTTTTGTGGTGTGTATGCATGGCAAAAATGTCACCATATCTATCGACCGTATGAAACCAGCATGCACACTAGCGCCAGAAGAAAATGCTGAATCCGTTCCGTCGCAGTCTAATGAGATTCCGCAAACAATCCGGCTGGAATCTTATAACAACAGCAGATCTCAGCCGTTGAGCCCGACAGAGCCTGAGCCAATTGCACAACCAAACTCTTCAACGAGACGAGGACGCCGAGTTCGGTTTCCGGATTTTTCGCAGGCCGGATTTTTGTGAACTTCGTCACTAGAGGGGGAGTACTGTAAGCGTATGGCAACGTCGCTATGTTAAGGGTCGTGCCGGATGGTGCGTACGGATGGTAGAACAGGCAGTCGGTCCCGGGTAGTTGTCGCGATAAGATATCTCTGTACATAAACTGTTAATAAACCATTATTATAAATTATAATACGCATTTCATTGGTAATATACCAAAGCATAAATCTTATTTTTAATGAGAAACCAAACTAATGCTATAAAAAACTCCAGTACACATAGAACGCCAGCAATAGACGGTATTCCTTATGAATTTTATAAAAAATATAGCGATGAGATTGCACCGACTTTGGCTGAAATTTTAAATGAATATCTAAAAAACCCAGAAAAGATTAATAGAGATTTTGTTGAAGGTGTAATAATACTAATACCCAAAATTAAAAATGCAAAAATACGAAAGATTTTAGACCGATAACACTTTTGAATACAGATACGAAACTATTGTGCAAAATAATTGCCAATATATTAAAGGACAGCGTACAACCAATTTTAAACAAAGGACAGGCATGTTGTGTAGATGAAAAAAATATAACTGAAAACCTTGTAACTATCAGAAACCTAATCATATATTGTAATAATAAAAACAAATGAAAGTGCTGCCTTAATAAATATAGATTTTCAAAAGGCCTTTGATATGTTATCGCATGAATATTTATTTAAAGTTTTAGAGAAAATTTCAGTACCAGAAAAATTTAACAAATGTATAAAAAACTTATATAAGAATGCATCGTCAAAAATATTAATAAATGGTTATTTATCTAATGAAATCAAAATTGGTAGGTCAGTAAGACAAGGATGTCCTCTCTCGATGATTTTGTTTGTGATCGCCTTAGATCCATTGCTTGTGGATTTATCGAGGGAATTAAAAGGATTACAAATAATGCAAAAAAAGATTAAAGTTTTAGCACACGCAGACGACGTATCCATATTAGTTAAAAATAATGAAGAAGAATTAATAGCAATAAATATAGTTGAAAAATTTTGCAGTATTTCGGGTTCCATGATTAATAAACAAAAATCAACTTTCCTTTTAATTGGTAACAAAAGAGACAGAGAAAGCAATAATTTAAAAGAAATGATTAATGAAAACTGGGAAATAATAATAAATAAAATAAGGATAACTTTGAACATAAAATTGTCAAGGAGATTAAATTTGATTCAAAAAGTTTGGCATGTAAATTATTATGTGCTTTCAAAATTATGGTATATACCCCAAGCGCTTACTATGAGAACCTTAGATGCACAAAAAGTAGATTAATAGGTTACTACTTGTGAAATAATTATAAAATAAGAATAAATAGAAAACAATTAAGATTAAATGATTCAAATGGAGGTCTGAGTTTAATAGATACTGAAGAAAAAAGTGAAGAGTTAATGTTAAGACAAATAGTAAAATGCTATAAAACTAATAATATTAATAGTGAATTTATCAAATTATGGTCACAACAAAACAATTCACCACATGCTATTGAAAAAAGATTGGAAGTAATAGCCAACAACCCAGAATGGTTTGATAGAGAAATAACGACAAAACAAATTTATAATACATTAATTACAGAACATATTCCTAAAATAATTAAAGACAGATCCGAGTTCAATTGGGAAAATATTTGGAAAAATGTAAGGAATAAAAATATTTCAACGGAATGGCAAAGTTCGAATTATAAAATTGTTGATGAATGCGCTAAATTGAAAAATGAGTTATATAAAATTGTCTGATTCGGTAATGTGTTTAAAATGTATGAAGAAAGATAATATTAACTACTACTTAACTGAATGTGGACAAAAAATTAAGGTATGCGATTGGTTAAGAAAGAAATTGGAAAAAATCAGCAAGAAATGATAGAAGACAATAACAAATTATTAAAATTTGATATTAAAAATAGACCAAACGATATACTTAATACTTTTGTTTGGCGCCTATCTGGCGTTCTATACAATTTGTTAGAAGGAATAGAAAAAGTCACAATAATTGAAAAGAACTTAAGGTTGAAAAGACAAGAAGAAATTAAAAGGAAGAATGAAAATTTTGGTTATTATTTATATAATATATTGTAAATTCTATGCAATGTAATGTAAAATTATAAATGTATATTTGAATAAATAAAGAAGTTAAAAAAAAAACGTTATGTATACCGATAGATATTATACTAGTATTCCTTTAGCAGAGGATTTGGTAAAGATGAAATTGCATCTCATTTATCGAGATTCGTAAAACAAAATTTTCAGAGGAAAAATAAACTATAGCTTATAGAAAAAATAATATTACACGTCTTGCGTGGAAGGACAAAAGAACTATCACAATTATAATTGCGGAGCAATTATACACATACGGAAATGCAATCAACATACAGAAAGTTAGGTGGTGGAAATATTATATCCATTGATAAGCCATTGATTATAATATTGTAATTTAATCTATAAGTTTTTGGTCTTCGATAATTGTGATAAAAAGTTTTTAATAAAAAGAACTATTTTTAGATTTTACTACTATTTTTTTGGACATTTATTTGGGGAATTATTTTTTCTTTGTGAAAGTCACTGGAGAATCAATTGAAATCTCGTTTACTACAACTTCTCATGCTATTTGTTCATTGCAAAGTGTTTTGTCAGTACGTAGATACAAATTTAGATCAAAAGTTGTTTAGATAAATTAATTTAGTGAAATAACTGTTTTAGAATAGATATTATTAGTTCAGTGCGAAGTTATTTCTCAACACGTAGATACAATTTTAGAGTAAAGTTTGATAAATTTGTGCTTGTGTAAAACTATAAATTGACTAAAATAATTATTTGAGAATAGAAATTCAGTGCGGAGTTTCTTCAATAAGTAGATACAAATTTAGAAAGGTTGTTGAATTTGCAAAATTGTTGACTTTAAAACAATCGTTTTGAATCATAAGTATGAATTCAGAAACCAATACCCTAGTAGAAACGAATATGAGCTGAATATGTTTTTTATGTAAGCTAAATATTGTTTTCTAATATTGAGCTAATATGATTTTGTTAACATTCGGTCATATTCCGCTCAGATTCGTAATGAGGGACGAATGCGGGAATATGATATTTAGCTTATATGATTTGCTTAACATTTCTCCATATTACGCCCGCATTCCGAATATGAGGAGAATAGGTAAAAATAATATTTATACCATATTGAAAAACATATATAAACCATATTCAAAATTATTGATCCTTCATTCTGAAATATTAAATATATATTCATTTAAAAGAAAAAATAATATTATTTAATTAGTATTGGACAAACAGCATTAATAAAAAAAATTTATATAGTATTTACAATATAACTTACATACACACAAACGCCATTTTGAGGTTAATGCATGTAAATACTTACATTGCATGCATATATAGAATTTATATTATTATAGTACGAAGGCATTATATTGACATTATACTCTACACTATACTACAATATTAATATTATATATCTAAATAAAACATCCTAAATAGTTCAAAACATGTGAATTGTGAAAAATATTTTTTGATATTTCAATTATAAGTAAATAACTCTGACGCGTAGAATTTGGCGCCATAATTCATCATAGAGAGTGCATTCTATGCCATCTACAGCGCTTTGGATGCAATGCGTGTCTACGATGCAATGGCTTAGGTAATTCTTTCCCGCGTTCTCGTATTGTGCATTGTGTTTTGTGTCTAGAAAATTCCGCGTGTTCGTATTGTGTTTCATAGTTTTTCATAGTTTTTTACAGTTTGTGTATAACAATTTTTATTAAAATGGAGGTAAGTTGTTAAATTGAAATAAGTATAATTATAAACAAATATTCAGTTAAGTATCATTAAAATTTGTTGGCAGCCGACATGGGATGTCGTAATTTACGATAAGGAAGATAAATGTGGGCACATACCTTCTTCGTGGGCTCTACCAATGCCCAAAAACCAAATATTTGTGGCCCACAGATATTTCTGCTTTGAAGGTACAAAAAATGATTAAGAAGTGTATGACCCTTCCTGATACTGTCAAGTATAAAATTGTCACAGGAAGATGTTTAGCTACGTCTTCTAATTATAAACAGATACAAGTGTATGAAGCGAGGGCTGAATTCATATCATGTGTTGATGGTGAACAGGAGAAGGTAGTGGACGAAGAAACGGAGGATATCCCCAATATAGAGCAACTACAAGGTACATTATATATTTAATATCTTCATAACATATCATTCAACAAAACATTCATGTTAATATTTATTGCAGAAATTATGTGTGAAATTGAGCAAGGAGAAATAGAGAGTCCCAATATGGAGATGGGTACATTATTTAAAATTTATATATTTAAATTATTTATTAAAATCTTTTAAATTCCAATAAACAAATTCTAGTTGCAGAGAACAAGTTAGATACCATAATGAATGCTCTATCAAAATTAACTTACAAAGTTAATGAAATGAAGCAAGATATGAGGGAGCTTTTATCGTATAAGAGGGCTTCTGAAGCATCAAAGCTGGATGCTCCAGAACAAACACTTTTTAAACTTCCCATAACCTCAGATTTTGAGATGCTTGAGATAGAAGCGAAGCTTGTAGATAAGCAAGCATTGAGAGATTTGGTAAACTAAAAAAAAATAAAAATGAAGTTGAATTTTCAGTTGAATTAACAAATTTTTATTTGCAGGCGTTAC